AGAATGAAGGTATATTTACATTAAAAGACCCCATAGATTGGATTGAACAATAACTATTTGTTCAAAGGAAATATTTAAACAAGAAATAAGTTAGATATTTCACTGATTGAAACCGATCCAACTGGCGACCTTGGAGCGGAAGTACCAATTTGAACATCGACACAGTTATTAAGTTGCACTCCAAATATCTCTAAATGAGCCGTTACTAACAAGGGGCTTGTGCTCCGATGGTAAAAGGTAGATATGTTTAATTCAGCAGTAAATGGTGATGGTGGGAGAAGAAGGAAATGAAATAAGAAGCTGCCAAATTCATACGGAAAATAATTACCTGAACGTTCACCCTACGGCGGCTGCGGAGGAGAGCAAGATATGAAAAAAGAAGGTTACTTGTTTTCATGGCCAACTAATATAAGATAAGGGCAGCATGATAATGGGCTTTACTTCCTAGAGATTTGTGTCATACTGGCCCACAGAGCTACAGATGCCAATCTCTGGACTATTTCTGCAACTTAGCAGGTTTAGTATATGGGCCAGTTTGAGTTTTTAACAATCTAAAATGTATTTAGAGATAATGCACTTTAAGAAAATTTCACTCGGACAAAAATTTCTCCCTCCAACCCACAAGAGAGTCCACGTCACCATAATTGCATCCTATTAGATTTGGCAAGTACTTAAATTTTGATTTCCATAGTATCCATTAATTGTCTTGGGATGGCGCTAGTCCATTTAACTATGCTAGCTTTTAAAAAAATCTAGCACACAATGATTAAATCATTAATTAGGTGCAAGGCCAAGAATGGAAACGCAATATTTCAACTATATAAAATCACCATTCTATTAAATACGGCATCAATTCATGAAAAAAACTTGTCCAACTAGCCGTCTCTAAGAGAATGGGTTGGTAAACATAAAAATGGAGCAGAACATTTCATATAGTTTCCCAAGTTCTAATGGAAAATGTTTACTAATTTGGTAAGAAATGCACATGTCCTTTTTCGATCAGGTTTAAATTAAATTTACTTGGTTAATGAAGAAAACATAAGGGCGAATAGTGAAAGCCTGAAACAGGACTAGTCATGCTAACTATTTGGTTCACTTCAAATCAAAAGAGAAAGTGAACAATGATTTGAATAAATTGCTACATAACTGGTATCTTCAGTGAAACAATAAGTAATCAATTATTACATGGAACTTAAAAACCAACAAGGAGTTAAATATAAAGAAACCCATGTAATCAATATGGCAACCAACATGCATAAAACTATGACCATGTTCCTTTCTTTTCCCAAAAGAAAAAATAAAGAATGCTTCTAAACTTTTTACATGCTATAATGGGTGCCCTCGGCCTATTTTAGTACAGCGTGTTGAACAACATAACTATTTTATTATTAAGATGAAGCTCTAGTAAAATGTTTCGACACAATACATAATAAAGTGGGGGGCTCCATAAATTTTGGAATGGTACATACTAACCTAAATCTTAGCAGCAAGAACAAATAAAAGAAACAGGAAACTCTTTACAGTGGTATACTGGTATCCAGAACTTCTACAAAAGTTCAGGTGGTTTGCATGGTAATTTGTAAGGTAGGTTTAAATAAATATCTTCACAGGAAAAACAAGAAAGTGGAAACAAACACAGCGAAGAAATGCAGAAAGGATCAGGAAGAGATGAGAAACAAAAAAAGAAAATGAAGACATAACACCTCTATGTATGATCCTATGGTTCTCTTGCTGGAACCACCAGGCTCCCTCAAGTTGTTTATAGCCTCCATTATGAGAATCTCCAACCTATAATCAAATGAAGTACGTAATGTCCGATGTCAGTGATACTTCATAGCTCAAATACATCTTCATACACTATTCATAGATCACAAGTATACTCTTCAAGATTTCAACAATACAAGTAGCATGCCTAAAAGTAATAAGGTATAAGCATGCTAATATATATAAATACATATATCAAGAGCTACCAAAAAAAAGGAGCACACTTGATAATATCTAGTGTTTGTACTTTTCGGAATTCTATGTCTAACTCAAATCATAAAGAAACTATTGAACAACGAACACCATGAAAGCAAAGGACTGCCGCCAACATAAACATTGTAGTTAATAGCTTAGCTGGACTGTGAATAAATGTCTAACCGCATTATGGACCCCTTCGGACAATCATTGGGCGAAGAACCACCTGAACCAGTCTGTGGCCGTGTAACATCAACCATTTCTTCATCACTTTCACTAATTGCTGAAAGAGAGACGGAGCTTTCTCCAGGCTTGGAGGCAGAGTGTCTCCTCAATGCCAGTCTGGCCCTTTCTCGACATCCCCATCCATTTGCCATGGCACTCATGTTCCTCCATTTGTCCTAACCAACACCAAAAAATACTAAATACCAAATTGGAAAAGGCAAAGGGACAAATACGAAAGAAATATCATCCCACTACCTTTAGATCAACATTGGACCTTAGATACAAAACTCCACTGAACTGTGGGTCCTTGAGAATCGTACGCCACTTTCCGGGCCCATGCTTGAGGACGCCAGCTTTTAGGGCTGCTTCTTCTTCTGCAGTCCACTTTTGCTTAGGTGCTCCCATTAATTATCAGATTCTGCACAAAACCTCAGACAAGATCAGCTATACTGAAAAACCCAAAAAAAAAAAGGAAAAAGCATGTCCACAATGCTATCCAACGCCATTCATATATAAGTTAGACAACATTGCCGCAAAATGCATTCGATGACGATGAAGAAAACAACGAGAAATTATAATAACCTAACTATCGATTTGCAGTACCAAAAAGGAAATCCACCTCAGAGGAAGAATGAAATTGAAAATGATCAACAAGTAACCCTCGTTGTCCCTAATTGCTAGAAGGACTATACCAATTAAATAACGATTTGATAAGGATGTCATTAACCAATGAAATTATAAACTTCAGACCTGCATTCCACCATAAGCGTGAAAAATTAACCCTAACCCTAAGCCTACTTCTTAAGCCTTCGAAATTGGAACCAACACACCTATAAAGAAAGGAATTGAACGAGGGGAAAGACGAAGGATTACCAGCAAAACGAGAGTAAGCGCATTGATTCAAGAATTTTGATTATCATAAACTGAACCGCCGTCGTCAATCGTCTTCCCTAATTTGAAATGAACGCATTCTGTATTGCGATTCGTACACAGATGTGCTTCGTGTCGCGTACCTTACACGTGGAACGAGCCGGGTTCGACAATTGTTGTTAGTACTTCCGTCTACCAAAGATAAATAATACCAGAAACCGGATCGCCCCTCAAAAATCGGATTAAATGGCATTAATAATAATCACTCTTATATATAATTACTGAATGCGTTGAGTCTAAGTGGTAGGCTAGTATGCTTCGAGATCTTATGTGGCAAAATCTCATGCTTCTTTATTTGACTTGGATAAATTTTTATTTAATTCAAATTCAGTAATAATAAGGTCCAAATTATTCATAACTATGTTAATTATTTAAAACACGTTTTTCTCATTAGCTTTAAAATTTAAGAATAAGTTGTTAACAAACACTCGTGTAATACGCGAGTATTGTACTAGTAATTAAATAAACGCAAAATTTCACCTCGCAACAACTTTGGTTATTTAAAATTCCGCTTATATGTAATTACTGAATGTGTTGAGTCTAAGTGACAGGCTCGTATGCTTCGAGATCTTATATGGCAAAATTTCATATTTCATTATTTAGATTGGATAAATTTTAATTTAATTCCAATAAAAAATAGTTAGGTTCGGATAATCCTAAATATGTTGATTATTTATAGTCATTTTATATGTATTAATTCATTTTAATATTATTTCCTATTATAACCATTGAATTGTAAATGTAATTTAAAAGTTAATAACTTTGGTATTTTTTATAAGTTTTACATATATAATATATTAAATTAATCATCTATTGATGAACTTTAATTTGGCATCCATATTATATTTATAAAATAAATAAATTCTATTGAGTTTTTAATAATAAAATTATTTAATAGTAATTAGAAAAATAAATTATTAAAATTAATGAGAAAAAAGTGTTTTAAAATTTAAATATTTTTTTACAAAAAAATTATATTATTATATATTTTAAAACGACACTTGTTATTTGTACGACTTACATGTGTTATATTGTAATAGTTTTACTAACTTATATTATATAACTACTTTAAACATAAGTTTAAGAATAATTTTTTATCAAACACCCGTGTAATACACGTGTTTGTACATTATTTATATTATTATAATAAAATTAATTTAATATTTATTAAAACCGATAAAATAGACGATAAAACCAGTTGAAGTGTGTACCATTCGCTCGTCTGATATGATTACGGTACAGTAACACTGGATGATATGTCATGTTAATTGATGGGTAAAAGCCCTCCCGTGAGTGGAATGAGTTTCATGGGCTTCTCCCCTCGTCGGTGATCTTACGGATAGCCGGAATGCTCCCGTCGAGAGAAGATGTTGTAGAAGACCACATGGTATGGTGTCATTCTCACGATGGGAAATTCTCTACTCGTACTGCGTATAAAGCTCTTACTCGCTTGGCTATGGATCCCGATAAACCTCTTTGGAACTTGGTCTGGCGTGCTCCGGCCCCGCAAAGAGTGCGGACTTTTCTGTGGTTAGTCGTTAAAGGTCGTTTGTTGCCAAATATGGGAAGGGTGCGACGCCATATTACTTCCTCGGAGGACTGTGAAGTGTGCGGAGAACGCGAAACGGCGCTTCATGTCCTTCGCGACTGCCGGATTGCCAAGGGCTTATGGTCGCGTTTGATTCTGGCAGACCAGGCTCGTGAGTTCTTCTCCTTGCCGATTAAACCCTAGCTTCGTCTGAACCTTGCAACGGCGTGGCTGGGAGCAACTCTCGAGTGGACCAGCATGTTCGCCATTGCGGTATGGAGATTATGGGCATGGAGGAACGATAGAATCTTTACCGACGTTTATTAAGCTGTGAAGCCCGTCTGGTGGAAGTCGCCCGCATGAAAGATACATACAGTCGGGCGGTCGTGGGCGACGCCCGTGTTGGAGCTCCAACTTATACTACCCAACTCATACACTGGACCCCGCCGGACACGGGATGGATCAAGGTCAACACGAATGGAGCATGTGAAAATTCTACCGGCTTAAGTAGTGTCGGAGGTCTGATTAGAGACGAGTGCGGTAAATAGATTCACGGCTTTCTTATGAACATTGGTTACTGCACCATTACGGGTGCCGAGCTTTGGGAACTCTTGCAAGGGCTGTTTTTGGCGTGGGACTTGAGATACCGACAAGTCATTGCAGAGCTAGACAACCAGTGTGCAACGCAGTTGATTAGCGGGAAGGAAGATAGGTTTGGGAGCCATACAAAGCTAGTAAAGGCTATTCGTAGCCTTCTAGATCGAGAATGGAGTGTTAAGATACAACACGTTCATAAGGAAGCTAACTTCGCGGCGGATCATATGACAAGTCTAGCAGCCTACGCGTCAGTCGAACTTCATCGGATTCCTTCGCCTCCCACTGGATTGGGAGCGTGGATTCAACATGATCTTATTGGAGTGTCCTACCCCCTGCGTTTTCTAGCCTTATCGTAGACTTAGGTCTCTGACCTCCTCTTTTTGTACAAAAAAAAAAAAAAAGGCCCTCCCGTGAGGCATTCAAAACCTTCATTAAATTTAAAACTTCTTGATAATCCTTGCTTCTACTTATTGGAAGCTCTACGTTTAGGTTTGAGTTTGGCTTAATAATAAATTTAAAGGATAAATAAATTAAAAATAACCTCAGAATTTCTTAAAGCTTTAAAATCTCAAATACGAGCAATGTAACAATTGAATCTAAAAAATTTAATACCACGCCATTTTACAAATTTTGCAAAATGCAATTCATATCTATATCATATCAAACGAACAAAAAGTTAAATACAATTCCAAAAAGTTAAATACAATTCAACTCTACCGCATATTGATATTGAATTTTATTAAATTTGTTTGCAAATCGAAAATCCAACCACAACCAAAGTAATAACAAAAACCTACCAACGGGCAACGGCGATGATGATTGTAATAAAGCCCATATTAACCGTCATTATCACCAACTAATGACGACAACAAATCATGACAATGATGCACACCAAAACAAACAAATGAAGAAAGAAAAGAATAGCAATACAACATCCAAATTGGAATGTACACAAATGAAAGCAGCCATATTCTAAATATATGCTCAGAAAGAGCAAGAATCCACAACTGTAGTGTCCCAAAATGAACCGAAATCGAAGTAAAGTTCAATAATTTATTATAAAAATATCGATAATAATGGATGAAGGCCTGCTGAACAAACCCGAGAGCGCATTCCGTTTCGAAGAAGCAAATAAAATCTTGAAAGCCTGCTCTTCAAAAGCAAGCATCCAGCAGGCAACAACAGCACAGAGCAGCCAAACTACACAAAAGGTAATATTAAAACAAAAGTCAAATTCACACCATCAAATTGATGAAAAGGCATTACCTAATAATACATTACTAGTACAATACTCGTGTACTACACGTGTAGTTGAGTTAAGAAATATATGATAAAAGTTATTTCTGCAAAAAATTGTTTATGTATAATATCAAAAACCTTAACTCGAGAGCAAAAATGAATATATAAACAACATCACCAAGCACATATGTTTTGTCATGTCAACATCCGAAACGTGAGAATCTGCCACCTAGGCTCAACACGTTTTGAATTAATATATAGGGATGGATTCTAAATTGCAAAAAGCAGCAGAATATACTCCATTATTTATCTTTCTCAAGATAGATCATGAACAATACCCTAAGAAACCACCTTAGTAATTAAAAGAATAATTTTTTTGGTATCTAATTGGCCTAACATTTTATGGTCAAGTTGAAATAAATGCAATTGTTATCATAATTCACAAAAAGCAAACACATAATAATGGAAAAAAGTGGAGATAATGGTCAAGGGCATTATTGGTAATTCAACAACCCAAACCAAGTACGCAACCCACCCAACGACCGACGGGCCACCGCGCACGTTAACATCCGCGTTTTTTTAGACTCGCCGCCAAACTCATCGAATCAATAGCAAACACGACAGATCCTTCAGATCTGAACCTCACACAACCACAGAAACAAGCAAATAGAACTGGGCGGAGATTCGCTTACCATCCCTGTAATAATCCAGAGCTGCTGCTCGATTGCTGTTGCGGCGGCGGCGGCGGCTGGCCGTACTGCGGGGCGTACTGCGGCGGATACCCTCCCTGAGGGTACCCCTGCGGCGGGTATCCCTGCTGCGGGTAACCAGGCGGCGGATATGCATCCTTCGCGTACCCTTCTGGCGGGTATCCTGCGCGTCGCAATCCAAAAAATAAAAAATAAAAAATAAAAAAAAAAAATCGATTAGATCAAACTCAACCCAGATTCGCAAATTCAAAAATAGATAGAATCGTAAATAAATAAATAACAAAAGAGTCAGATGGGATAAAGAAGTTGCCTTGAGGAGGAGGCACGCCAACGGGGGGCTGCGGCTGATTCTGATTGTAGTAACTCATGGTTTTTTGTTCCTTTAGATTGGGAGAAAGGGGAAAAAGGAGTAAACTAATGCGGTTGGGGGAGAAGGGGGTTTTATATAAGAAGCATATGGTATTTGTGTGTATATGTTGGTTATAAAAATTATATTTGAAAAAATTAATAATCATATAACAATAGAAGTTTTTTTATTTATGTTCTAAATAAAATTATTATATACGTTTTATACTGGCGAGACCCTTGCTCCTATTTATTAAAAGGTGATATTGATCGTTAGTAACATTTTTTTTTTTCTTTCGAAATGATAGGAAATACTATTATTCACTAATATAAGCAAGACTAGAGAACAGCTACTCAGCCGTTAAACGGCCGAATAAGCTGAACAGCTGACTCTAATTGGGAGGACTATACGACAGACAGACGGCAGCCTAGAGTCACCTTATAATAAAAAAACAACTAAAAAACTCTCAAAAGGAGAACATACAATAACTCCCAACAGGAGATACATCAAACACACTCTCACCATGAGAGAAATAGATAAAATAAAAACAAAACAACACAAACACAAACACAAACACATCTAAACAAAAGCCAAATAAACAAAAACTAAAACAGAGAAAAGACGAAAGCCCTCCAAACCAGACGGAGATCCAAGCACCCCCACATCCCGAGTCCACACATAAAGTGAGCTATCCAGAGAAACCACAAGATCTACGGCCCAAACAATGGATCAAGAAACTCCCCTAACGGGCCAACGAGATCCGAACCACAGACCCGTCAGCCTCTCCTAGCACTCCACAGACGCAACCCAAGTCGGCCCACTCCACAGCCTCTCCACACACACTCAGGAGCCTCCGCACGAGCGCCTACCGAGAACCGGAAAAGGGGAAAACCAAGGATAAGCCCCCCCCTCCTCCCCAACTGTCGACAGGACAACCGTGGCGTCCATCGAACATCACCGCCAACACCAAACGCCCAACCTCACCCAACATGGCGAAGCTCGAAGTTCGGGACCACGGGGGGAAAAGGACGAGCAACCCACCAGCATCGTTTCGCCAAGCCCTTGGCTGGCCAGATGTTGGCCGGAAATTGGTGGACTAGGGCCGCCGATAGAGAGGCAAGGTTACCGAAAATTGGAGATTTTTGCTATATGGGGGAGCAGACATCGAGAGAAAAAAATTCAGAGGAACTCTGCAGAAACTGCGCTATGTTTGAGTTTGGATTATTTTTGTTAACAACATTTTGAGTTTATATTAAATTACAATTTAAAATAAAATAGATAAAATTAATTTGATATAAAAGTATGAGAAAGATGATGTGAAGTGATTATTAGTTAAAATCATGTGAGTGAATAAATACATAATAAAAGTTGATATGATGTAAGAATTGTTGAGCTCAGATGTGCAAATGCGGAAGATGTAAATTAAAATATCAAGGTAAAATGGTGAACAATAATCTCCATCTCAACAACTCAAGAATGACAAAAGAAATCTCTTGCAGTAAAACAGGAAAAATTTCTTTATAATGTGGAAGATCATATTAAACTACGACCACATAGCATACTAAAAATATTCCAAATAAATAAAATATGCAAGAAATAAGACACCAAGATTTAACGTGGAAAAACCTCCAATTTAGAGGAAGAACCACTGGACAACCTCCGAACAATTCCACTATATTTTCAAGATAATTACAATATCTTTCACATCCCCCTACACTAGAAATATATAATATATGGACCAAGTGAGACCCCACTCCTAAACAAGGAGTAATAGAGATGATACCCAATCTTGGGTTATTTTTCAAACACTCACAAAATTTACTCAAACACTCTATTTTTATCTCACTGAAAAATTAACACTCCAGAAACTGTATTGTTGTTTCGGCTTCTTATTTTTCTTCTCACTTTGGTGTCTCTCCTATGCTGAATACCCCCTCTATTTATATGGGGAAGACCATGTGAACTTCACGAAAATTTCCATCTGCTACTTCTTCTTTCTTTCCTCTTTTTTTTTTTTAATTATTTTTCCTCCATGTGGGCAGCTCACCAGATCAAGTTGTTTTTTCTTTTGCTGCCAACTATTAGTTTTGTTTGTTTGTGGCTGGACCCCACAATTCTCCCCCTCCAGCCAAAGAGTAATATACTGCAACTATTTACATGCATTTCATGTCGATCAACTCGGCACAAAGCTGAAGCTTTCCTCCTGTTACAACTTTTGTCATCATGTCAGCAGGGTTTCCGTCAGTGTGAATCTCTTTTAACTTGAACTTTTGTTCTTCCACTGCTTGACGTAGCCAATATCTGACATCATTGTGCTTCGTGCGAGAGTAGTACATCGCATTCTTACTTAAATCCAATGCAGTCTGACTATCGCAATGGATATCGTACCTTTCATGTTTCATTCCCAATTGTTGAAGAGACCTATTCAACCAAAGCATTTCTTTTCTTGCTTCTGTTATTGCAATATACTCTGCTTCAGTAGTCGACAAGGCAACAAATTTCTGTAATTTAGATTTCCAAGATACAGCTCCTCCTGCAAATGTAAACATAAATCCTGAAGTAGATTTTCTACTATCCAGGTCATCTGCCATATCTACATCTGTATAACCTTCATGAACTGGGTTTCTTCTGCGGAAGCTCAAGCATATGTTTGTACTGCCTTTTAGGTACCTCAAAATCCACTTCACAGCCTCCCAATGATCCTTTTCAGGATTAGAAAGATACATGCTAACAATTTCAACTGCATGAGCGATATCTGGTCTGGTACAGACCATGGCATACATCAAACTCCCGACTGCCGAGGAGTATGGACCATCCGCCTTAAATTTTTTTTTCTTCTTGACTCGTAGGACAACTTTGTTAACTCAGTTTGAAGTGATTGGCTAACGGTGTATTGACCGGCTTAGTCGGTTTCATGTTGAATCTCTCCAGAATTCGATTCACGTACCGTTCTTGCGATAACCATAACCTCTTGGATTTTCGATTTCGCAAGATCTACATGCCCAAAATTTGTTTCGCAGAGCCTAGATCCTTCATATCAAAGGACTTCGCTAAATCCTTCTTCAAATCACCAATCAGCTTCATATCATGTCCCACTATCAACATATCATCTACATATAATAAAAAGATAATGAATTTATCACCTGAAAATTTCTTAACAAACACACAATGATCTGCATCAGTTTTGGTATATCCATGGCTCGCCATAAACGAGTCAAATTTCTTGTACCACACTCTTGGAGCGTGTTTCAGTCTATACAAGCTCTTCTTCAATCTGTAAACCATGTTCTCCTTTCCAGTCTTCTCAAATCCTTTTGGTTGCTCCATGTAGATTTCTTTATCTAGGTCTCCATAAAGAAATGCAGTCTTCACATCTAGTTGCTCAAGCTCTAGATCCAAGGTAGCCATCAATATGAGTACTACTCGAATAGAGCTCATCTTTACAACCGGAGAGAATATCTCATCAAAATCTATTCCTCGCTTTTGTCCAAATCCTTTCACGACTAAGCGAGCCTTGTACTTCAACAGCTTTTCACCATCTTTCTTAAGCTTAAACACCCATTTATTTTTCAAGGCTTTTCAGCCTTCTGGAAGCTTCACAAGCTCATAAGTTTCGTTTTTCACCAGTGAATCCATTTCTTGTCATAGTTTTCTTCCATTGGGATTTATACTCATGAGTCTGAACTTCTTCAAAGCTTTCTAGCTCCCCTTCTTCAGTGATGGTAATATACGTGGAACTAGGGTATCTCGTAGATGATTGGATCGCTCGATTTGATCTCTTGAGTTAACAGAGCTTCGAGGTCTTCTTGCTCGACACATTCACAATCACCATCTTCTATTTTTGGCTCATCATCAACCCTGAGTTCTCCATCATACTCTCCCCCTGCTGTGGCATCTCTAGGAGGTTTGACAGGTGAAAGATCCACCTTACCACTTGGTTCTCTAGTTTCTGATGAAGCAAAATCAGACATAGTTTCTTGCTCATGGAACACTCATCTTTGCTTCTGATAATTTTTCGATTTTCTGGATCCCATAACCTGTAGCCATAATCTTTATCTCCATATCCCAGAAATATACAAGGAATGGCTTTATCATCAAGTTTTCGTCTATGTTCCTTGCTTACGTGAGCAAGAGCTTTTGCATCCAAACACCTTTAAATAAAAGTATTTAACATCATGTCCGGACCATACTCTCTCAGGGATATCAAAGCCCAAAGGAACATATGGAGATCGGTTGATCAGATAGCACGCTGTTAGAACAGCTTCACCCAGAATGACTTAGGTAGTTTAGCCATTCTTAACATACACCTCACTTTCTCCATAATGTTTCTATTTATTCTTTCAGCTACACCATTATGTTGTGGGGTTCCAGGTACAGTCTTCTCATGCCTGATGTCATGCTCGACACAATAATTCTTGAATTCATGGGAAGTATACTCCTCCCCATTATCTTAGCGAAGGCACATCAAAGGTTTACCAGCATGTCTCTCCACCATAGCATGAAACCTTTTGAAGTACTGAAAAACTTCGTTCTTCGTTCTCAATTAAGTACACCCACAATTTTCGTGAATCACCATAAATAAATGTTATAAAATATCTTCTACCACTGAGACTCTCCACTTCCATGGGTCCACATACATCAGAATACACCATCTCCAACACATTCTCTTTTAGCTTCGAGGTTTTTCTGAAAGACACCCTGTGATGCTTCCCAAAGAGACAATAATCACAAGGATTTAGATTTGAATCCTTGGCAAATGGGATGAGGGACTTTCTTGCCCAAATTTGTAATCCTTTTTCACCAATATGAGCCAGTCTTTTGTGCCACAAATTTGGCGAAGCATCATCCTCGACTGCACTTAATCCACCCTTGATCAGCTTAACTTGAGTCATGTACAACGTCGATCTTACTGTGCCTCTAACAGCTAACAATGATCCTTTGGTAAGCCTCCACGTGCGCTACCAAAATTGTTAATATAGCCTACTAGATCCAATGCATGCACAGAGATCAAATTCAGACGTC